ATGCTTGGCAAAATTGGCGACGTTGTAGTGCTGAGCCTCGAGCCACCGGTTGAACCGGTTGAGTTAGTTGAATTCCGGTTGTTGACCTGGACTTTTGTGTCATTTTGAGATTTTGAGGGCATAAGTTAAAGTTTGAGCTCAGCAACAGCAACGCGTTGCCAGCCCCAATCCCAATTATTCTGTTATTTAATTTATCAATCCCAATTATTCTGTATAAGATGGACTGCAGTCAGCCCAGCCTTTGACATGTAGACTTGCCACAATTGCAATTGCGACGTGCCAAGTGCCAAGGCCGCAAGTGGAATGACGACATCCGGGACCCCAGCATCGCCAAGGACTCGGTTCAGGCGCGATATTCTCGTGGGCGTGAGCCTCTAACGTGGTGGTGACGGTCATGCCTTGCCACGGTAGGGAGCAGAGGCAGTTGCAGAGCCAGTGCGCCTGAAGGCCTGAAGGTTTGAGGCTTGCGGCTTGAAATTATTGAAGGCTTGAATGAATAATCCATGTTCTAAATCTGAATCTGAATGCTGAACCCAGGGAGTAGGGAAGCCCTGCTGCGCGACAGGAGGTGATCAACGGCAAAACCGTCACCACACAGTTGGTTGCGGCGCCGATGCCTCGAGAGATCCACGCAGATGACTATGTGGATAAAGCGAATGTGGTGCAGGGAGGGAACACAACACGCCGGCCGAATCTTGCCATCGTAGTCGTAGTCGTAGTAGTGCTGCTCAGTAATTAGTAATTTGGTATCGTTTCGGGAGTTTCGAGGCGCGCCAGCCGCCAGCGGCCCGGGCTTTCTTTTTCTGGCGGTCATTCTGGGTCACGAGTGACAAGTCACGATGTTCAAACTCACATTGAATTGAACTCAATACGCAGCACGCTCTGTGGCTGTATGGCAGTGCGGCAGTATGGCTAACTTCATTCAAACTTCACTGGTCGGCTCAGCGAGTCGGCTCTGCCCATTCCACTGAGGGCGCTGGACCAGATTGAGTCTGCAGTGTCCAGCCTGGCTGCGGAGACAGATCCCGCGTCTGGTTTGCTCAGCATGGGCCCGGCTGCAGGCTGGAAGCGGGAAGGAGCAACGAGTGAGTGAGTGAGTAGGCTCATTGATTACCCTTGGCCCGGTTGGCCCCGTGAGCTCAGTCACTGGCAAGGTCTGTCGGCAAACTCGAGCGGCAGCCGTGGTGGAGGAACTGGGCGCGTCAGCCTGGATGGCAAGGGCAAGGGGAAGGGGAAGCAGCAGGGGCTTCCCGCCCGCGGCGGGAAGCCCCTGGAGGTGTTGAAGCTGAACTTCAGGGGCAAGTTTTCCACGGCCTTGCAGACAGTGCGGCGCGACGCCTCGATCAGGTGCACCGAATCGGACAAAATCCTTGCAACCGCAGTGGAGTATGAGGAGCAGGTGAGGGTAATGCCGCTGCCGGTACAGGATGGCGAGGATTCTGAGCAGGGTGACAAGTGCTTGATCGTCAAGAGCCCCTACCTTGCAACTTGCTTGCAATATGCCACTATGTGATCATCGTGATCCAGCTGTATTTTGGAATGGTACGCAATAGTACGCAACAATTTCAACAATGATTCGGGAGTCGGGAGTCATGACACATTGATGTCATTTGTTTGCCATCATTCGTGCCACCATCTTCAGGCTGACCTGCGGAATCGCTACAAGTGCTTGCAGCTCTGGGCCAACGGTGGGAAGAACAGTGACGCCGAGTTGACCAAGCTGATTGGCGAGGAGGGTTTCTTCGGCCCGGTTGATTGAAATTGGTGTCATGAGACTTGTGCTGGGGCGTGTGTTGATAATGCATTGTGGTGATGATCATGCCTGGCCTGTCTGGCGCGCCTGCCGCCTGCCAAGGCTATTTCAAGACCTTGCCCAACATCAGCGGTCTCCGCGGATGCGCCTCGCTTGTCGGTGCCCTGGACATCGACCTCATGGCGGTGACCAGTCATGAGGACCTCGAGGAGTTGATGGCCGCATGCACTGGCGACTCTGGCAAAACAATCGCAAGATATTGATTGAGTGATTACTGACTCCTACTGACCACTGACTACTGACTACTGACTACTGACTACTGACTACTGATATCGTTGTCTGCTATGACCTTAAGAGACACTAAGAGACTATAAGAGACTTTAAGAGACACAGAGAAACCACAAAGCCCACGGGCCCACGGCGTGCGCAAGGGGCCCACAGTTGTCTTTGTTTGTGGTCAGTGGCTTGCCGTTTGACTGCATTTGGAAGGCGTTTGCAGAAATCCGCTGAGCTGAGGCAGATTAAACAGACCATGTTGTTAATGTCGTTTACTGGCTCTGGCAATGCGTCAAGTGTCACGAGTGTCATGGGTCACGTGTCAAGTCCAAGTCCAGTGAGTCCAGTCAGTCCAGTGAAGTGTCCAGTGAGTCCAGTCAGTCCAGTGAAGTGTCAAGGAAGCTTGGTAACCGTGAAGTCCATGATGGCGGCGGTGAAGGAGTCGGCCAAGAACTGGGAGGCCGGGCGCCGGGCGGCCCGGGCGGCCCCCCAACCAGCTAAGCTAGCAGCTAGAGGCTAGGAGTGGCTAGGAGCGGCTAGGCCGCGGCGGCCGCGGCTAGGTGGCTAGTAGCTAGGCCAGGTGGCTTGCTTGGTGGCAGTGGCGTCAGTGGCGTGTGGCTGTGGCACAACTGTTTTGCAGGCCTTCATCGCGGCGACCAAGAAGAACAGGGCCAACGCGGAGAAGAGGCGTGCCAAGCGGCGTCTTGGGCCGAACTTGGGCCACCACACTACACCACACTGTCACCACACGTCCACACGTCCTGGTCAGCCTGGTCAGATGTTGAACTGTTGGTAGTTGGTAGTTGGGAAGTTGGGGTACTTGGCAAGTACTTGGTACTTGGTACTTTGGTAACAACTTTGGTACTTGGTAAGACTTGGTACCACCTTGGTAAGACCACGACCTTTTTTCCTTACAACAACCGTCGACCAGTTTTTGTTCTCACGCTGAGTGTCACGCTGCGACCATTTTTGTGTCAGGTTGCGACGGTTGTACAAAACCGTACACAATCCGTAAAAATAGAAGAATATTGAATAAACACACACAAAACAAAACGGTACAACAACGCACAAAGCCGTACAAAAGCGCTCAGAGCCGTATTCAAGTTTCTTTTTACAGCCCAAGTCAGTTCACAGTTCAAGGGCCCAACATTCAACATACACAGTCTGCGCCCCCACCACGGCAACCACATGTCACTCACATTGAATTCATTGAATCATCATCGATTCAGCCAACACATGTGCGCAGTGCGCGCCGTGCGCCGCGTGCGCGCTGAGTGTTTGCTGCGCTGCCAACTTCACTGCCAACTGCCAACTGCCAACTGCCAACTGCCAAGGGAGGCGTCCAACAAGGCCAAGGAGGAGAAGCGCCGCTCAATTCTTGACGCTGCGACTTGGCCAACTTTACAGACGATTGCTGACTGCCGACGGGCTGTTTGACTGCTGACACAACTGATTGACTGTGACTGAGTGACTGACTACTGTACACTCTGCAGAGAAGGGTTTCCCAGGAAATATGCGGACAGTTTGATAGTTTGCCCGTGCTAGTGAAGAGACTGGAGACTGGTGTCTGTTTGGTATTAACTCTGGACACGTGAGCCAAAGGAACTGAGGCCAAAGGTGATGGCACGGGCACGGGCATGATGGAGTATATCACCAAGAACGATTGCTGCCTGCTTCGCACTGCAACGAAGATGTTCGAGAAAGGGCCCAAACCCATTGACCGGGGCAATCTGCCAAAGGAGATGAGGGCTGCCTTTGTCATCCGCGCCTAAGATCAGTCTTTGTATGCTTTTGCGTGTTTCATTTCACCCCCAAACTGTCAGGTGCTGATTGGGTTGGATGAACTTCTCGTTTGTTGCGCTTCGCTACGCAGGCTGCAAGGGCTCGCGCCAGCTGCTCGAGAAGCTCTGCGCCGAGGAGGAGGATCAGGGGGGCCCATCGCCCGGCGCTGTGCGTTCCTCTTTGACCACGATCCGTGAGCTCATACCTTCATTTCTCGAGCGGTTTGCTCAACGGAAGGAGGGCCAGCTGTTCAGTCCCTTGCCGGGGGGGCAGAGTTTGCGGGACGCTCTCCTGGGTTTGATGCCGCTGCCGCCCTTCGGCCTGCAGAGCGCGCAGATGGTCCAGATGGAGCTGGCCAAGGACCACGACATCAGCGCGGCAAAAGCCCTGGGCACCCTTCACCTCGTTGGCTACAAGCCTGGCTTCTGGCAGGACCTTGGCCCGTGAAAACAGTGAAGTAGCTGTAACTGGACTACTGTCAATTCAATGGCTGCCATTATAATCATTCGAGTCTGAGTGGACTTTCATTACACATCAGGATCATCAGACAGTCGCAAATTTATGTTTGGAGGGAGTAGTAGGGATTCTGATTCTCGTTTTAATGCGGTCGTCTTGATGGTTTTTTGTGCTATTTTCAATTTTCCTTTATGATTTGTTAACTGTTAAGCGTGGGCTTGACTGACTGGCTGGATTCCGCGGCTGGATCGTTGCCTTGCTCCTGGCTCCTGAGGAAGGCTTTGAGCCGTTCGGCCTGCCGACCCTCAGGGTGATGATGGAGGGCACGCGGCTTGCCTGAATGCACATTGCAGTCAACACGTCGGACACGTCGTGCTCAGTGTTCGTACAGGCTGGGTGTACAGTAGTACAGTAGTAGTAACTAACTAGTAGACTAGTCTACAGTTAATACTAACTACAGTCTGAGTCTGAGTCTGTACTCTCTAAACTCTGTACAGCGCAGTGCAGCAGTAAGTTGGACGTATAGTATTTGATGTGGCATGTTGCGGCGAACTTGCCATGGCCCAAACAGTTTTTGCTGAATCCAAATGATAGAGCTGAAACTTTGTTTAGGGTTTAGGGTTGTAAGTGTTATGCAAAGTTCGAAGTAAGGAATTTACTGAAGTTACTGGACGTAACTGAAGCTTGACGTTGAAAGTCGAATATCATGACAAGAGTCTTGTCACCGTCCAAGGTGCACCTACCTTTTCAGCGTTCGGGTGGAGCCGTGCGACATCAATGAGCTGGCTGACATCATGTCCGCCCTGAAGAGCTTGGACCTGACCAAGGAGAAGGACGCCGACTGCCTCACGAAGATGGCCACCGACATCACGGTTCACAAGCTTCAGCAAGGGGACGCGCTATACACGCCGCCTCAGACCCTTGTCCTTGCGAAGCACTGCTGCAGCACCACGACTTGGTTAAGAGTGACAGGGTTTGGCGTCGCTTCGCCAGAGCTCGCGGTGGGTTTGTGGCGGAAGTTGGTGCCTGGGCCGAACTGTGAGTTCCTGGAGAAGTTGCTCAGCCTGGAGCATGACGTCTCCGGTCTGCCGCCGCAGCTTGGCGGCCACGGTGGGGAGGAGCCAGTCAAGCTGGAGGACAAGGAGGATGGGCTGTGGGCTGATGCAGCCTGATGCAGCTGTCGGTTTTCGGCGCCACCGCATTGTCACCACATGATCAGGATGTGATGTGATGATGATGATGATGATGATGATCCTTAGACCCTTAGGGGTTAGGGTGCAATCAGACGAAGCACGCAAGTTGCAATTACTGCTGATCGGTTTTAATTGGCTAGTAGTGGTGGCAGTGGTGGTGCTAGTGTTTGCTTCCCAAAGCTGGCAGGACGGTGCCAATGGCTCTAATGGCCCTACTGGCCTTACGATGGCTTCTCCGGCTTCGAGGACCGACCAGCTGGAGATTGAGCTGGGTGCGGCCTTGGACGAGTGGGAGTGGACGGAGGCGGCAGGGGCCGGGGCTCTGAAACTCTGACCGTCTGAGTCGACCGTCTGAGTCTGAGTCATGATGTGTGAGAACGATCGAAACATGTCCAAGATGATCAGAGGAACTGGTGCTGCGCGCACTGAGCACTGTGCGCAAAGCTGCTTGAACGCAGAACTCCCACCAAGCCAAAGCTGTGTCCAATCGCTACCACTTTGGTTGCAAACTCGGTTCAACACTGTCAACACCACCAGGGTCACCAGAGTCTGAGTCCAGAGAAATAATAATGGTCATCGCAACCTTGGTATGGAATTTGAATGATCCATAGTTGTCGTTGTCGTAGCCCACATCCCAATCTGGATTCTATTGGAACCGCGAGCATGGAGCCTCACCAGAATCCCATGGATCGCTTGCAGTCTCGGTCTCGGTCGTGTTGGAATCGAATCCAACTTGGAATTCGTCTGCTGTTAACCGTTTCAAGTTTCAACCTTGTGGTTTTCCTGCTTTGGTCTGCAATTTCGTCTGGTCCATTTTTAGTCATGGCCTGGCCCGCCCCCGCCAACGTGCTCAGGCCGGCGCCAAGGAGAAGGAAGGCAGCGGCAGCTGCGGCAGCGGCGGCGGCGGCGGCGGCGGCAGTGGCGGCAGTGGCACTTGCGGCACTGGTGGCGGCGTGGACAAGTCCGCGGACTCCGCAGCGGCGGACAAGCCCAAAGAAGACCTTTTAACTTTTATTCTTTTGGCTATCCTGCTAAGCTATCTGCTCTTTTAGTCATGGCCCCAAAGTTGGGCCCCAAAGGCTTTGGCCCAAAGTTCCCAACGGTTAACTTTTATTTCCACTTCCTTTGCAACTGAGGATAAGGCCAAGGAGGTGATCATGGAGCCCAAGGACAAGGAGGGCGGCCGTGGCACCGGCAGTGGCGTGGACTCCGTGGACAAGTCCGCAGCGGCAGAACAGGCAGCGGCTCGGTTGCCCAAAGCAGACCTTTTAACCTTTTGGTTTTCCTGCTAACTGCTCTTTTTGTCATGGCCCAAAGTTGGCCCAATGTTCCAAAGGTTACCTTTTCTATTTCTACTTCCTTTGCAACTGAGGATGAGGCCAAGGAGGGCAGCGTCGGCGGCGGCGGCGGCGGTGGCGTGGGCGTGGACGTTGCGAAACAGGCAGCGGCTCAGGCTCAGTTGCCCAAAGCCCAAAGCAGACCTTTTAACCTTTTGGCTATCCTGCTAAGCTAACTGCTCTTTTAGTCATGGCACCAAAGGTTAACTTGTATTTCTATTTCCTTTGCAAGGATGAGGCCAGGGAGGTCATCATGGAGCCCAAGGACAAGGAGGGCGGCCGCGGCGGCAGTGGCGCCGGCTGGGCCGGCTGTGGCGTGGACAAGTCCGTTGCGGAGGAACAGGCAGCAGCTCAGTTGCCCAAAGCAGACCTTTAAACTTTAACCTTGCGGTTTTCCTGCTAACTGCTCTTTTTGTCATGGCCCAAAGATCCAAATTTCCAAAGGTTAACTTTTCGATTTCTACTTCCTTTGCAACTGAGGCCAAGCCCAAGGACATCAAGGAGGGCGGCAGTGGCAGTGGCAGTGGCAGTGGCACCGGCAGTGGCAGTGGCAGTGGCGTGGACAAGTCCGCGATAGAACAGGCAGCGGCTCAGTTGCCCAAAGCAGACCTTTTAACTTTTTGGTTATCCTGCCTGCTGGCCCTGCTGGCCTGCTGGCCCTGCTAACTGCTCTTTTAGTCATGGCCCCGGCCCAGGGCCAAAGTTCCAAAAGGTTAACTTTTTATTTCTACTTCCTTTGACTTTGCAAACTGAGGATGAGGCCAAGGAGGTCATCATGGAGCCCAAGGACATCCAGGAGGGCGGCAGTGGCAGTGGCACCGGCATTAGTGGCGTGGACAAGTCCGCGGCGGCAGAACAGGCAGCGGCTCAGTTGCCCAAAGCAAACCTACTTTTAACCTTTTGGTTATTTTACTAAGCAGTCCTGCTGGTCCTGCTGGCCTGCTTACTGCTCACTGCTAAGTGCTCTTTTGTCCCATGATTGCTGCGCTGCTTCGTGCGAGGTGTCCCATGATTGCTGCGCTGCTTCGTGCGAGGAAGGCATTGATTTTTCAGCGCTGGAGGCAGCCACCATGTTTCAGGAGACCGACCTTCTGACAGCTGAACGGCAGCATGCGGCGGCTGAGCCTCAATCTGATGAGATCAACAACCCAGAGGCTTCCACTGGCGCTTGTAGTGCCGGGAGCAACTCGACTTCACGGGCGGTCGACTGAAGTTGACTGGGTTGACTGGGTTGACTTGTGACTGCTTGTTGGGTATTCAGTTGGATTGTTGCTGCCGCCCGACAAAGTCATGTCCCAAAGTTTCCCAAAGTCCCAAAGATCCAAATTCCAAAGTTTTCCAAAGGTTAACTTTTCGAATTCTACTTCCTTTGCAACTGAGGCCAAGGCGGCGGCCACGGAGGTCATCATGGAGCCGCAGCCCAAGGACATCAAGGAGGGCGGCAGTGGCAGCTGTGGCGTGGACAAGTCCGCGGCGGAAAAGGCAGCGGCTCAGTTGCCCAAAGCAGACCTTTTAACTTTTTGGTTATCATGCAATCATGCCTGCTGGCCTGCTGGCCTGCTGGCCCTGCTAACTGCTCGTTTAGTCATGGCCCCGGCCCAGTGCCCAGGGCCAAAGTTCCAGATTCCAATTCCAAAGGTTAACTTTCTATTTGTACTTCCTTTGAGGATGAGGCCAAGGAGGTCATCATCATGGAGGGCAGCGAGCCCATGGCGGCGGCAACAGCGAAGGCGACCGTCGAACTGGAGGCTCGGCTCAGTTGCCCAAAGCAGACCTTTTTGTTTCTTTTATACAACCTTTTGGTCATGCCGATCCTGCTGAATCCTGCTCAGCCTGCTTTGGTTCATTTTTAGGCGGCTGCGGTGGCAACAGAGAAGGAGACCGTGGCTGCGGCCGCCACTGTGGCCGTGGCCACAGATTCGCAGGAGTCGCAGGAAGCAGCTGCTGAGGCTGCGGCTGCTGAGGCTGCGCCTGCGCCCACGGCGGCCACGGCGGCGGTCATGGAGGCGCGGTCGCCCAAAGTTCCAAAGCCGACCTTTTTGACTTCTTTGTTTTTCTTCTTTGGTCCATGTGTGCAAAGTGCAAAATGCAAAGGTTAACTTTTTATATATCCAAGCCCAAGCCCTTTGCAACTGACGATGAGGTCACCAATGAGGTCAAGGCCAAGCCCACCGAGTCCGCTGCCACGGCGGAAACTGCGGCGGTCATGGAGGCTCGGTCGCCCAAAGCCGACCTTTTGACTTTTTTGTTTTTCTTCTTTGGTCCGTGTGTGCAAAGTGCAAAGGGTAACTTTTTATATCCAAGTCCTTTGCAACTGACGATGAGGTCAAGGCCAAGCCGGGCAAGCCCACCGAGTCCGCTGCCACGGCGGAAACCGCGGCGGTCATGGAGGCTCGGTCGCCCAAAGCCGACCTTTTGATTTTTGTTGTTTTTCTTCTTTGGTCCATGTGTGCAAAGGGTAACTTTTTATATCCAAGTCCTTTGCAACTGACGATGAGGTCAAGGCCAAGCCGGCCAAGCCCACCGAGTCCGCTGCCACGGCGGAAACCGCGGCGGTCATGGAGGCTCGGTGGCCCAAAGCCGACCTTTTGACTTTTTTGGTTTTTCTTCTTTGGTCCATGTGTGCAAAGTGCAAAGGGTAACTTTTTATATCCAAGTCCTTTGCAACTGACGATGAGGTCAAGGCCAAGCCGGGCAAGCCCACCGAGTCCGCTGCCACGGCGGCCACCGCGGCGGTCATGGAGGCTCCGTTGCCCAAAGCCGACCGAGCTTTTTCCGAGTCACAACCCAAGCTGAACATGTCATGTAAATCAACTTACTTGAGCCCCACGCCGCCCCACGCCCAAGCCCCACGCCCCACGCCCGGGCCCCACGCCGCCCCACGCCATTCAATTTTCTCCCCCCCTTCCCTTCTGGCCCTGTGGCCCCTTGTGACCGCCCTTTTGCCCTCACGGAGTGCCAGGCGGAGGCGGCGGAGGCGGCCATGGTGCTAAAGGCGAAGAGTTGGCGCAACGACGTTGGCGCCGGCGGGGCTGCAGCTGGCGATAATCATGATGGGGCTGAGGCTAAGGCCTCATCTCATCAGCCTCATCTCATCACTGTCCATGTTTTTTTTGGTTTCTATTCAGTTACCATCACATTCACATGTCCGACATGTCCCTTTGCCGTTGCTCTCACGGAGCGCCAGGCGGTAAAGGCGAAGCGTTGGCGCAAGGACGTTGGCGCCGGCGGGGCTGCAGCTGCAGCTGGCGATAATCATGATGGGGCTGGTGCTGAGTCTAAGGCCTGGCGCAGTCACTGTCCATGTTTTTTGGTTTTTACTGGCTCGCGGCTCGCGGGTCGTGACTTTGAGAGGGCCAGTTATTTGTTGTTTTCGTGCGAGTCTGGCTTCATGATTCTGACTTCTGGAGTTTGTAAGATACCAAAAGACCCCTCCCTGAAGCCCTGAAGGCCCTGGAGTCCTGTAGTTGACTTTGGTGGACTGGTGGATGCCCAAAGCCGAATTGCTCCCCGGTCAATTTCCAAACCGTGCCATACTGTGCCACTGTGGCACTGTGGCGGCCGTGGCGCTTGTGATTTGTGAGGCAGCCGCCAAGAAGAAGGCCAAGACGAAGACGGCGGCTGACGCCGACGCGCCCCCGCCGCAGACTCTGCCTGACCTGTTTGCGCCGAACAAGCGGCGCAGGAAAGCCACTTGAGCCACTGAGCCACAGTCAAAACCCGGGTAGACGCAGATGCAGATGCAGTTGCAGATTGCAGATGACGGGTTTTGACTGTGATTCACTTGACTTGAGTTGTGACATGTAGGTAGCAAATGTAGGCCCGCATTAGGCACCCAAGAGTGACAGTGAAAGTCACTCGATTTTTGTTTTGCCGCACCTTGGAAGATGCTGGATAAAAAGAAAATATCATTCTGGACCGGACTTTCATATTTGAGACTTTGAGACGCTATATGTATATATATATA